CACGCCCAGGTTACATCTCAGGGGGTGGGAGGTGGGGGGTGGGGGGGTGGGTGGGGTGTGGGGTCTGTGTCTGTGTGTATCTGTGTTTGTGTGTGTCTGTGTCTGTCTGTGCGTTTGTGTCTGTCTGTGTGTTTGTGTCTCTGTCTGTCTGTCTCTCTCCGTCTGTCTGTATGTGTCTGCCTCTGTCTCTGTCTCTCTGTCTGTCTGTCTGTCTCTGTCTGTCTCTGTCTCTGTCTTTGTCTGTCTTTGTCTCTGTCGGTCTGGATGTGTGCGCATGTGTGTGTGTGTGTAAATTTAAGATATCGGAGTGTGGGAAAGGGACCATCATCTCGACGACTTTGTTTTTCACTTCGGATTGACTCTCGGATTACACTTTCAATTGCCGATTCGGTTTCGTTTCAGCTTCGGATTCACTTGATTTTCTGTTCTGTCGTTGCATAGCATCATGAGGAACGCCACAGTCCAGAGCGTTCTCGGGTGTGGGGGCGGCTTTTGGGGCAGAGGTTGCTTATGCTGATGGGTGGTTGGGGGCTTGGGAGCGGCTTTTGGGGCACGGGCTGCTTACACTGATGGGTGGTTAGGGGTCTGCGTGGAGGTCGGTCCGCTGCGGGAGGGGGGGGGGGGTTGGGCCCCGACCGGAAGTGAGGCGGGTGAATCAAAAGTTAGTGAATCGAGAAATGACTCTTTCTCCCGACACGCCTCGGAGGGCCTCCCTAAGGAAGGGCTCGGATCGGACCCAAGCATGATACGACAGATGACATCACTGTCAGCCTGACATGCTTCAGGCTTGCCCAGATGTTTTGGAAGGGGGTTGTCATAAGAAGAAACAGGTACTTCGCGTGGAAATCTGCTAGATTGGTCGCCGGTCCGAGTAGCCAACCCCCGTTGACAACCGTGGCTGTCAAGCAGTTCGCCCCACAAAATGATAGGATGTCGAGCATGAGAAGGTTACATTTTGCGGTCGCATCACTTTGCCTGTGGATTTCAGGTTTGGCCTCCAGACGAGTTTTGCCATGGCATTTCTGAACCCGAACCGGCAGAAGCTCTTCGCGCTTTCTTTCGATATCCAGGTATGCTGACATGAGCACCTGCTGCAAGGAGTACGAGGATGCTAAGAGGCCGACCATCCATCCTTGAATTCGATGCTCTTCACACTGCCAGTTACGATCAGGGCAGTTTTGACACAGAGGCTTCAGTCACATGCCGACGTGAGGTCAGCTTTTGGCACCTACTGTAAGCACTCGCTGGTTTTCGAGCGTTCGGTTGTTCGAATCATCCTGGGCCACATGGGTTTGACTTTTCGAGCCCCGACCCCTGGGCAGGTCTATGTTGGAGCTTGTCTTCGCCCCTTGCGGTGCCATCGCTGGGAGCGACATCAACTGGATCGGGAAAACAGATGAGGAATCCTTCATGTAGTGGCAATAGTTTGGGAAGGGTCGCTTCAAAAGCCGCGACATCGGACAATAGATGTTCAGGCACAGCATTAGAGCCGTAATGGGCCATTGTCACAAATTGATCACGTGCTAGTATCACCTGGTTGACTGCGCCTGGTGTTGAAACTGTTGACCTCCCCGATGTGCCCAGACAGGAGATCGTTGCTGCAACGATGAAGGACTGCGGACAGCGGTACCGGTACACGCTAAAAGGGTTTCGCCTGAGATGGCTCTCCGGAGGAGCTCGAAAGGCTCTGCCCGGACGAGGCACGCGGGAAAGAGGGCAGTGCATCAAGACAATTGTTGCAGGCTCGGTCGCGCTGCTAAAGATCTCTCGCAGAATCTGCTAGACATGCTGATTCCACGGCCCAGACGCCCTGACTCCAGATTGGTGTCGCACTGCCCGGCGGCGCACAGCTGCGCAAGGCGAGGGTGGTGAAGGCACCTCGGAGCTTCAGATTTGGGCACCCGCACATGACATGGCGGAGTTGGTGGCGCATTTGCACCCCTGCCGCCGTTGCACATTCTGGAGACGGGCAGCGTGGAATAAACTACTACAGGGCATCGTTACATGCAAGCGCAGGTGCCACGCAGCGTTTACGCTGCAGTCCCAGGACGCAACAAGTTCCGGCCTTCTCAGGCCCCTGCTTGCACGCTTGTAGGGTTTCCTGCCCAGTCGTCACCTCCCCGTGATGACTTCAGGGGATGAAAGGAAGGATTTTCTCAGCTTGGCGCTGGTGCAGGCAACACCCGTGCCCAACTTCACCTTGGCGGGCGATTGGACTAGCCAGAAGTTCTTGGGCAGCATGGAGGCAGAGTTTCCGAAACTGCCCAGGGATTGCACCGGGTTTCAGATCGAATTCATGGAAGCTTGCTCTTGGGCCAGGGAGCCGTGCTGGCGGGCAAACTGACCGCAGAGGTGATTTGCGACCGTGCGAGGGGGATGAAGGCACATCTTGGTTCAAGCCACATTGGCCCAAAGCCTAGGTTTTGTTGTCATTTCGTAACGTGTTAGCCGCATCTTCCTTTTCCAAGGCATGTGCCCTCGCGGGTTTTGTTGCTGCCATGCCCAAAGCTTGATATGCTGGAGTTCGCTCGTCCGAATTATTGTACATGTCCGCAAAAAGCTCGCTCGCTCATGACAAGTTGTAGCCACTCATGACATGTAGCCTGACATGTGCTCAAGTTGCAGCAACCACAACCACGTACCATGTCATGGTCAACCAGTGTTTTACCTGGAGTCTGCAAAACACCTGACTTCGAAAAGCTGGACTTAGAGTCAGATGTCGAAAGCTACGTTGCAACGTAGTTGGAGCGTCGATGCATCTGCCGGTAGAGGATCAGTCGTCACTGACCACATCCGCACGCACTCCTTTGCTTTGTTGGCGTGGCTGGGAGCTAGAGTCTAGAGCGCCACGCCGCCATGCCCCGTGTTTGGACAAATTCATTGCGGGCACTGCAAAGAAGAGTAACCTTAGTCAAAAAGCTGTGCATGAAATTTTCTGCACACATGTGGAAAACATTGATTTGCAAAGTGCAGATAGAAGCACGCAGCTGACACAAACACCTGGGTGCAAACATCAATGTCAATCGTAAGATCAATACCGAATCACACAAAACCAGCGCACTGAACGTGTGCAAGATGCTAGATTAGGAGCCACTTCCGCAACTCTGAAGATGCATGCCAGGCCAGTACAGCGAGACCAAGCTTCCTGTAGACGGCCATAGTGGCCGTTGATTGGTGTGCATGTCTGCATGTCTGCGCATGCCTCCTGAATTGCTTAAGACTGACCAAATTGTGGACACTTCTGTCATGTAACACATGCATATTGCGGAACCATGCACTCCAGAACATTTCCTTCCACACCTGAGCCTGAGGAAAACCTGGTTTTTCCATGAAGGACGAAAATATTAGAGGCAGATGCCCAAGCTACGGCTCTGCGTCCATGGTGCATCTGTTACATTTTTGCAGGTACAAGAAACTGCGTCCAGTTTCCCTTCCAGTCATTTCCCATAGCTTCGCTGGCATGGCTAGGGAAAGACAGCCATGCCCCCTGCAACATGAAAAAGCTGAGACTTTCACGTTTCCATGTCCGCATCATGACTTAGTGGTTCCTGATTGAAATCGTGTTGGGTGACCATCAGCTCGATAGGTCGGTTCACCACGAATTTTTGGTCACTGATTTCCAAAAGCAAATGTGCTTGCCGTCCTGCATGAGCTGAAATGTGCTATGAGGGCGATACACCGAGGTGTATTCACGCATGTAAGCAGAAATTCATTCCTTAACCAAATCCGCAGAATCACTGCACAGCACGGTGGTGGTCTCAATGCATTCAGGAACAGCAGCATCTGATGACGAAGTGGGCGAGATACAATTGTCAGGAATGACAATGTGAAGTCGTAATCGATCTCGCTCAGCATAAAGCTCGCCATGTCTGATGTCCGTTTGGACATGGTAGCTACGTTCTTAGCTGCAAGCTGTGTACCTGAAGAGCTGCAGAGGCATGACACATATGTAACGCATATCCTCGGTTGCAAATCAACACATGATGCAACATAAACTGACAGCATCACAAGCAACCACAATCGCAAGACTGGCATCTTAGCACAATTGCACAATGATTTGACAACCTGCTAGCCTCTGCACCATGAATGTCAACAACTCATACAATCTGACATGTGCAAGGTGCAAGGTTTTTCGCATGTACAGCAGATTAACACCAACAGCCCCCAGCGGGGGCCGATCACAATACATACAGTACTAACTCCTTTTTCCTTGTCAGACGTGCCAGCGAAAGTAAAAGATTCTGGATGGAAGCTGACGAAGATAAACTCCGTTCTGCTCTGGTCGAGAGCAGTAACATGTGGTTGGTGACCACATCAAGAGCCGCGTAGAGGGTGTCGAATATGCTGAACATGTAAATGATCAAGTAATGGAAGTTCAACTTCCGTGTCTTCGCCATCTGTGCCAACTTACAGGCTGCAACTGGAATTATGTTCCATAGCTGTATTTGGCAAGGATTGTAATCGGATCCGACATGTGCCGTCTACCATTATTGCAAACGCATGAAGCCATTGTAGCGATGCGCTCAATCCTTTGACATAAAAATACATTTCTCTGTTTCACATGCATCAACAGGAATATCCTGCTTGCAAGTTCGTGTGTAATAGGACGGTCAGAGCGTTTGAATAAGTGCGGCAAGAGACGGAATTTGTCTTCAACCAATCGTGACACAAGCTCTCCTGCTGCAATATCAGCAGCTTAGGACATTGACCATCAGTACTATGTGAAGTATGAGCAACAAAGGTAAGCGACGCCAAAGTGGGAATCAGAAAGCTCATCACTAAATTGGCAACCTTCGGAACGGTCATGATGGTATATTGCGCCATGCCAATGCGAAACAGCAGAAGAAGATTACCTAAAAGCAAGCAAAGATTTGGAAAGCCAAAAACAAGCTCCGTTTAAGCAGAACCAGACCATCAAGTTATAATGTCTCCAAGGAGACAACGTGCAGTTTGTCCTATGCGAGATAAACAAGGACAGACCATTCGAAAGATTTGTCATCCGCACGTTATGCACAATTATGCAGAGAAGCGAAGCAGCGGTGCCTGAAACAGGACATGTTCTGCTAACTCAAAAGACAAAGTCAATATCGAGACTCCTCAATGGAGTCCCTTTGATGCAGAAGGAACCATCAGCAATAATGGACAACAGAGGAATCCAGTCCACCTGCAAAAACACCACACCTCGAAGCTGGTGTCTGAGAGCACGCATCCACTGTCGGTGGACCGCGCCAAGTTGTGCGCAAGTAGATATGCAAGGGGCCGCAAACGTCAAATTCTGACATATAGCCACGGATTCATCATGTGGTTGTTGAATAAACTGAGAGCGGCATCCGATGCACCCATGACGCAGAACCATTCATCAAGCTGGCGTCCTTTTTGTATGCTTTCTTGGAGATGCGTTCGAATAAGGAGACGCACCATAAGCAAGGTCTCTCCACATGTTATGAGATCCCATATGAAATGCCATGCCAGCACGGTAGAGCGATCCATTCAACTCCAATTCAAGGGGGCTCAAGCTTTAGTCCAATCTGATCATGCGATGACAAAATCTCACGTCATGAAGTGCAGCATGAAATGAGTCGTAAGACGGAACTCCCTTTTTGAATCAGCAAGCAGTTAAAGACCACCGAAGGTTGCAATCAGAAATAAGAACTAACCTGAGCCCGCTCGTTCAAGAACCTGGATACAGGGAAGAAACACCGATGATGTTTCTTGTAGCCAAGATCTGTTCACCGGTCAAGCAAAAGCATGGGTAACAACTATAACTAGGCAGCACAAGCGTTTAAGTGGATAGAAGCCGTAGAGAGGCTGGTTGGACTGAAAGTCCGCATCCGTTCATAAGTCATGATCTCACCAGAGTTCATAGCTAGAATCTCGGGATCGCGAACGGTCTCTGTGAGCGTTGTTCCTCAATCTCTCAGGTCTGCGACGATTTTGGCGTATACGGAGTCTAGATGTACCGACCCCAGCAATTGGCTCGACGGCATCAGATTCTGGTAATCCGGCAGCCCCAGCTGTAGGTGAAGAAGACAAAGAAACAGAAACAGGAGGGGAGAGAGAGGAAGACGAAGAAGACGGAGGAGGAGGAGGAGGAAAAGGGAAAGAGAAGGAGAGGGAAAGGACGGGGGAGCAGACCAAGAGGGAGAAGGACCGGTGGAAGAGACCGGACGGGTGAATCCTGAGTGCGGCCGCCGCGGAAGACAACTTCGGCGTAAGCTGTGGCAGTACCGTTCAAGCAGTATTGCGTAGAATTCTGTGGCGAAGAAGGGCAACCAACCTTCGACTCTGACCATCATCGCAATGTGAACGACTGATCCTGGCAAAGTGAGTTCAGAACATCGTAAAGAGACGAATCCGACATTGGGGTGGCTACAAGTGGCTTAAGCCAAGAATCTGCATCTCCATATGGGTTGTGTACAAAGATCATTGCACGGGTCAGGAAAACATGCAAGCACATGAGAGCAGAGCAATGAAACACAAGAGAACATGACAATTTTTCATCAGCCAGAGACTCGAAGCTCTAGCCGTAGAAAAGACAGAGCGCCTAAACTACATGGAATGACGAGCATCTACTTGTGAAAGTGCGCACCAGCAGGTGCTAATCAGTAAAACACCCGGCTCACTGGTCACCATAAGACCATTGGTCGGAGATGCATGAAATCTGAACATCCACTGTCGGTGACCATAGCTGTTTCCGCGACAAGACTTGGACACTTGCAGAATAGCCGAGCCGTCTGCGGTAGCAAATGAATGAATTTGAAGAATCTGCAATCATTGGACATTGCAAAGAAGTTGTGTGACTGAAAACACCGACCTCGTCCAAGCCAAACCAGCGCTCGCAGGCTGGTATCTGATGTTAGACACATGCGTCGGGTGACAAGCATCGAGATGTTGATACTTGTAGGACACTGCACACCAAACGGCAGCAAAGAATCATGTTGCGGACTGAACTGTTCGACCATACTACATCAATGCTGTTATCCATGTGGCCGGGGGAGCCAGTTCATCCGTAATGCCTCCAAATGGCACAACCTCTGCGAGAAGAAATGGCTGCGAGTAAAACCAACACAAGCATGAAACAATAGCAAACAACAAGCATTGCTCCGTCGCAATTTTTCACTTACATCTCCGAGACGAGATTCGGCGTCACACAAATCAATCATCAATGTTAGGGGGTACCGGAAGCTGCGAGATCAGACAGGCACTAACTCTGAAGCGATCTTCATCTGGACGATGCAACCAATCATGTACAAGAAATTGTTGTTGCGCTAGAGCACGGAGAGAGCGGAAATTTATCATAACCCGGCCTTGTATACCTCGAACGACTGCAACAAATAATGTGCGACAGGTCGCTGCCAGATAATATATGCGGCATGGCTGGG